TATCAAATATCTGTTCAAGTATATCCATAAGGGTCCTGACTATTGTTCAGTAGCAATTGAGAACGATGATGATGGTGTTATTGACGAAATTAAGAGATATTACGACTGCAGGTATTATTTACACAAACCAATATTTTCTATTGTTTTTAATTTATTGTAAATTATTTTAAATAGTGTACACTAAGTATATTTGTTTGGTCGCTAAATTTGTTGTAATATCTCTTAGGTAGTTGTATAATTGCGAATCAACATGGAGAATATTGGCTTTTCCTACACATTATCGAACTGTCTCAGTGGAAAAGCTTGGCTTCCATCTTCCGGATCAGCAAATGGTTTATTATGATGAATATGAAGCACCAGAGAGTATCATGAATCGCATTACGGTGAAAGAATCTATGTTTTTAGCTTGGATGGAAGCATGTAAGACGTATCCAAAAATTGCCAAGAATCTTACATATGGTGAGTTCCCTACAAAATTCGTTTGGCATCTCAAAGAAAGAAAATGGAAGCCTAGGGAGAGAGGATTTTCTATTGGAAGAATTGCACATATTCATCCTGCTTGTGGTGAATTGTATTATTTGAGAGTTCTGCTTAACTACGTAAAAGGTCCAACATCTTATAAGGACATAAGAATTGTAGGTAGCGTTGTCTATCCTACTTACATTGAGGCTTGTGAAGCAAGGAGCTTGTTGGATGACGACAAAGAATACATTGAAGGTATCAAAGAATCCAGCAATTGGTGTGTTGGGAAATATATACGAAGGTTCTTTGCTATAATGCTGATTGCAGATTGTCTGTCTTTGCCTCATGTTGTTTGGGAAGCAACTTGGAAATACTTAACTGAAGATATACTTTTTAATCAGAGAAAAAAAACTGGAAACCAAGGTACCTGTACATTATTATTATTCTTTTTACAGAACTAACTATATACAAAAATTGTTACTAAGTCAATTCTATCTGTTTTTTTTTCTTTTTAACATAACAGATCTGGTTTTGACGGTTGATCAGATTAAAAATATAGCTCTGTCAGAAATCCAGAATATATTGCTGAGCAATGGGCGTACTTTAGAGAAATGGGAACAGATGCCAAAACCAGATAATTTCTACAATTACACTGGCAACCGTCTTATAGATGATGAGCTGAATTATATCCAAGAAGATGAAAGTAAAGAACACCAAAGACTCATGAGAATGATAACAAAAGAGCAGAAGGCAGTTTATGAAGAGATCGTAGATGCAGTATTCAATGATAAAGGTGGAGTATTTTTTGTCTATGGTTTTGGAGGTACAGGTAAAACCTTTCTATGGAGTACACTTTCCTCAGCTATTCGTTCTAAAGGTCAAATTGTCGTTAATACTGCGTCAAGTGGAATTGCTGCGCTTCTGTTACCAGGTGGTAGGACAGCCCATTCGAGGTTCGGAATCCCAATTACTCCAGACGAATTCACATCTTGCAATATGAATCCAGGATCTGATATTGCTGAACTAATGAAGAAAGCAAGTCTTATAGTTTAGGATGAAGCTCCTATGATGAGTAGGCATTGCTTTGAGAATTTAGATCGTAGCTTACAAGATATTATCAGAGAGGATAAGCCATTTGGAGGCAAGGCTGTTGTTTTTGGTGGTGATTTTAGGCAGATTCTGCCTATTATAACTGGAGGTGGCAGAGCAGAGACAGTTTTGGCATCTTTGAATGCATCAGACCTTTGGAAGCATTGCAAGATTTTAAAGCTTACGAAGAATATGAGATTATTTGCTGGGATTAGCGATCACGATGCTGCAGATCTTAAAGCTTTCTCTGAATGGATTTTGGATATTGGTGATGGAAAGATAAACCTACCAAACGATGGGTTGATTGAAATTGGTATTCCTGAGGATTTGTTGATAACAGAATGTGGAGATCCTGTTGAAACTATTGTTCGTGAGGTTTATGGAGATGTTGGAAGAAAGTCTACTGACATGAACTTTTACAAGGATAGGGCGATCCTTAGTCCTACGAATGATGATGTGGATCAGATTAATGATTACATGCTTTCAAAATTTCCAGGTACTATCTTTATAACTATTACAATTGTCAATATAATATTAATTATTATATCTTTCATGGTATTCATAAATAGAAATTATACTTTACAATTCTTTGGCCTCTCTATAGTATTGTTTTTACATCACTATTTCTTACCATCTTAGGTACTGATAATCTTATTATGAATATATCTCAGGTGAGGAGAAAGTATATCTTAGCTCTGACAGTATTATCCCTTCAGATAAAGACACATTGAAAGCTGTGGACTACCCAACTGAATTTTTGAATAGCATCAAAGTTTCTGGATTACCGAAGCATTGCTTGAAATTAAAGGTTGGTGCTCCAGTCATGTGCCTTCGTAATATTGATCCTAAGGGTGGGATATGTAATGGGACTAGGCTTATTATTACTCAGATGGCTCGACATGTGGTAGAAGGTAGAATTTTACCGGGAAATGAGAAATTGATTGGTTAAAAGGTTTTAATCCCTAGGATGTATGTCACACCACCAGACACTAGGTTTCCTTTTAGAATGCGTCGTAGACAATTTCCTTTGGCTTTAGCTTTCGCAATGACCATCAATAAAAGCCAAGGACAATCACTTCAGAATGTCGGTTTGTTTCTACCTAGACCAGTTTTTTCTCATGGTCAGCTATATGTTGCTTTATCTAGAGTTAAATCTCGATATGGACTTAAAGTTCTCATCACAGACAAAGAAGAGAAGATGCAAAAGAAAACTATGAATGTCGTCTACAAAGAAGTTTTTGATAACTTTTCTTAATTTATCTTTAGATATATTTTATAACACTTTATTATATGTTCTCACGTTTATGTAATATTTTCTATTGGAATATTTTATGATTTTTACTTATTTTGAATTGTTCATATAACAGTATTACTTAATGTTTAGTTAATCATATGTAAATATTCATAAAATAATATGTAATATATTTCAAATATTAAACATACAAAATATATTATATCCCGCACACGGTGCAGGCCGATCACCTAATTTATATTAATTTGAATTAAAAAATTTCGTAAAAGTATAATTCCAAAAAAACCGAAACCAAATCATATTAAACCGAACAGTAAAAAAACCAAACCATACCGAACCGAAATATATATAGCTTTTATATGGTTTGAATTTTTGTAAAACCGATAAACCGAAGAAATCGAACCGAAACTAAACCAAAAACCGAAGTGTCCACCCCTTTTGATTAAAAAAATTAATTCAAAAAACCCTCGCCTGCAAATCGTACCCTCGTACACATGTACCATAAAATAGGTTGATAACCATTTGAACTACTTGCATTATCTAATATGTTATAGAGTCGAAACATTTATAAATCTTTCATTAAGTTTTTCAATCTTCGAATCTGACCCGGTTTTCATGACCCGATTTAGAAGTGTAGAAGAAGGTTCAAACGCCATCATCATTCTCCAACTATCTATTTCTATTTCTGGGTTTAGTTTATAAGATCTTCAGTAAAACTAAATTTAGGGCTCATTATGCAGCTTGACGCGATTCTATAGTTTTGGAGTTTCGAAATTGACTCAATTCAGGTTTCGATTTTATACCTGATTCTCCTTATTAAGATAACTTGTGAATCTCCCTCTTTGGTAACATCAAATTCACTATTTCAATTATAGTCGTTGCCTTTTTATGCTTATTGAAATTATTAGATCTTCGTTTTCATGTAGGCAACATAGCCACATTCTGACGAACAAGAGTTTACGAGGACGCATACAAACGTTTAGGAAGAGTTCATATGCTTCCGAAAAAGAAATCTGGGCATCTCGTAACTTTCTGTTGCAATTGTGTTTAGTATATGAAAAAATCGAAGAATTAATAGAAACCGCCTTTGAGAAACTGCTAACATCGTGTTGTACCTATAGAAATATAATTTGTGGAGTTATTACTGTTTCGATTTAAGACTACAAAAAATAATTTGAGTAGCTAAAGTGGTTAGTCTTCTGTTTTCACTTACTAGAGGTAGAGGGTTCGATTCTGTGGTTTTAAGGTTTCTGAAATTATTATTTTTTAATCAAAACGATGTGGTTTTGAATTCCGTCAAAAAATTAACAAAAATGTTAACTGTCGACGTCGACAATATAGAAAAGTCAGGTGATTTTAGAGGTTATAGGATTGATTTGCATTTTTTTAGGTGAGGATTAATCTTGCAAAAAAAATTAGTCTAAAGGTCTTTTTACACTTATCTTTATAAAAAATATAATTTTAATAAAATGGTAATTTTTTTTTTTTTGTAATTTTGATAGAAAATTATGGTTTTATGATTCTGATAGAAAAATATTATTTTATAACCGAGTAAAAAAACATGATTTTATAATTTGACTGGAAACATAATTTGTGGTTTTAACAAAAAATACTTTATAATTTTAAGTATATCTTGTTTTACTGAACGGGTCTTGGATTTAAGTACAAGTGAGATATCAAAAATGAAAATTTCAACATTTTCCTATGAAAAGAGAAAGAAACTTACTCCTGTTAAATCAAAAAATTAATTATGTCCTACACCCGTTTTTTGCCATGTTAATAAACTTAATTTGATGACTTTTGAAAATTTAAATGACTACAAATCTAAACATAAATGACCATAAAATATTTTAACTAGAAATGCTGAAAAGCCAGATTCGTAAACAAAGAAACAAATTTTCACGCGAAGCATCATGATGGATTAATTAATCTGCTAAAATCCATCCAATTGGCATATAAATGGTAAAACAATTAACCATCCGATTAAATTATAAAAAAATAGAGGTAAGAAAAAACTTCTTTTATATTTTATTTTCCCGGTAAAAAGAAAAAGAATGAAACAGACGACACGTGTCAGTGTAAGCACTTCTTTCCAAATGCAGGCTGCTGTGTTCAGCGGAAGATAAGAAGAAGAAGTGAAGAAGAAAAATGTTCAATCTTCTTCAAACGTTACAGAACATCGATTCATGCGAAGAAGATGGTAGCCATGGCGTTTCCTGCCGCTGCTAACCACTGCGTCCCTTCGAGCTACTTCCATGGCGGTCTTCATGTGGGTAGGAGCGATTATTGCCTCTTCGGTGTAAATCCTCGGAGAGCTTCTGTTTCCATCAGGTGGGTTCCCTTCCGATTTCTCTTATTTTGATTCCACCTTTAGTTTATGTCTCGAATCTCGATTGATGAACAAGATTGGATTTTTTTTTTGCTGTATGTGCTTCAATCTAGAGATATGGTTTTAGAGAGAAAACTGTGGGGTTGGCTAAATTCGATAGCTTTCATAGATGTTGTCGTGGATTGGGAAAAATTGAACCAGAGAAGTTACAGTAAGAGCTTTGTACAGCTGTACTGGCATAGTGTTAGCTAAATTTGATAGCTTTTTGTAGGTGCCAATCTACAGATACCAAAGAGCCAAAGACGAGTGGTAACATTTTGGATAATGCAAGCAACCTTTTCACAAATCTGTTAAGTGGTGGAAGTTTGGCGTCAATGCCCATTGCTGAAGGAGCAGTCTCTGATTTGTTTGGAAAGCCTCTCTTCTTATCGCTTTACGACTGGTTCTTGGAGGTATAGACATTCTATAAGGTCTCATCTTAAATGCCTTAACTTGAAGTGAACAACTTTGTTTGATTCTGTGATGTTTCTTATCTAAAGCATGGAGGAGTGTATAAACTTGCGTTTGGTCCAAAAGCCTTTGTTGTCATCTCTGATCCGATTGTTGCAAGGCATGTCCTCAGGGAAAACGCGTTTTCTTATGACAAGGTAATGGGAAAAAGAGCCGTTTCATTTGTTCTATTGTCTTTTTTGACCATTGAGTAACTTCCCTGTGTTTCTTCTCTAGGGGGTTCTTGCTGAGATCTTAGAGCCGATTATGGGAAAAGGGTTGATACCGGCTGATCTCGATACCTGGAAGTTAAGAAGAAGAGGTAAAGCGGTTTTTGTAATCTCTTATGTTTCTGATATTGCAGTACTTATGGCATTAGTGATTTGTTTCGTTTTCAATCTGTGTTGCAGCCATAACTCCTGCCTTCCATGCATTGTACCTAGAGGCCATGGTCAAAGTATTTACTGACTGTTCTGAGAAAATGATATTGAAATCTGAGAAACTTTTGAAGGAGAAAGAAGTTTCAAGCGGAGGGGACACTATAGAGTTGGATCTGGAAGCAGAATTCTCGAGTCTGGCTCTTGATATTATTGGGCTTAGTGTGTTCAACTATGACTTTGGCTCTGTCACAAAAGAGTCCCCTGTGATTAAGGTTTTTGATTTTGAATCATTCTACAGTTAGATTGGCTATTTCAAAGAAAGATGGTCCATTCTTACTTGAATCTTTTGTGGTACATCACAGGCAGTTTATGGAACTCTTTTTGAGGCAGAGCATCGGTCTACATTTTACTTCCCTTATTGGAAATTTCCTCCAGCCAGATGGATAGTACCGAGGCAAAGAAAGTTCCAAAGCGATCTGAAGATTATAAATGATTGCCTTGATGGACTCATTCAAAATGCTAAAGAGACAAGACAGGTACGTCACTCTTTTTTGTTCTCAGTTCCACTGTTCTGTTCTCATTTATTTGTTCTTCCAGGAAACAGATGTAGAGAAACTCCAGCAAAGGGACTACTCTAATCTCAAGGTTCTGCTCATGTTTATCTCGCACAAGTGTTTTAAAAGAATCATTCCGCTTCGTAATCTCATATTTTTGAAAAATTTCTGATTGTGTTCCCTTGGATCCAATAGGATGCAAGTCTTTTGCGGTTCTTAGTTGATATGCGCGGTGTTGACATTGATGATCGGCAGGCAAGATCATATTACTTACTGTTCAACAATCTTGTTATCATCTTATGCGTTTGATTCATCCTTTTTGTACCAATTTGTTCAACAGCTCAGGGATGACTTGATGACTATGCTCATTGCTGGTCACGAGACAACAGCAGCAGTTCTTACTTGGGCTGTTTACCTTCTTGCACAAGTATGCACTTTAGTGTCTCTTTTCCTTTTTCCATGACTGCTTCAAAAAGTTCGCTGTACAGTTTTAGCATTCTGCTTCTAAACTCGCAGAATCCTGCAAAAATTAGGAAAGCTCAAGCTGAGATTGATGCCGTGCTTGGTGAAGGTGCACCCACTTATGAATCAATGAAAAAGCTTGAGTACGTTAACTCGAAAGATATCTTGTATCATCTTTCTTATGGTCTGTATCTAAATCGTTGACCGTTTTGTCCAATGCTTCTGCAGGTACATAAGACTGATCGTTGTAGAAGTCCTTCGTCTCTATCCTCAGCCACCTCTGCTCATCAGACGCACTCTCAAACCAGACACCTTGCCCGGTATGTTTCAAGTTCCTATACAAAAGTTGCTTTCATTATAGACAAGAAGATTCATCCTGAGCTCATATAGCTCTAATTTTCCCATGTTTTTCTACTGCTTGCATCCACAGGAGGATACAAAGGTGAAAAAGAAGGTCATAAAGTGCCAAAAGGGACTGACATCTTCATTTCTGTAAGTGGTAGTTTCTAAATACGTTTATGCCTCTTCAATGGAACCTGCTTTTCTTTAATTTTCTGTCGTTACTTACTTTCAGGTGTACAATCTCCATAGATCTCCATACTTTTGGGATAACCCAGACGAGTTTGAGCCAGAGAGGTTCTTAAAAACAAAAGAGAGCAATGGTATTGAAGGATGGGCTGGCTTTGATCCATCTCGAAGCCCTGGTGCACTTTACCCCAACGAGGTGAGAAAATCCAAAACTTATAAATCTTTGGATCATCATTCTCAAATGGTAAATCAGAAAACTCTCTTATGCTTTGTTAATAAGACTTGCCTTCTTTGTGTGGTATTGTGATGAGAACAGATCATAGCAGACTTTGCATTCTTACCATTTGGTGGAGGGCCAAGGAAATGCATTGGAGACCAGTTTGCTTTAATGGAATCCACCGTCGCGTTAGCTATGCTGTTTCAGAAATTCGATGTGGAGCTGCGTGGTTCGCCGGACTCTGTTGAACTCGTGAGCGGCGCAACGATTCATGCCAAAAATGGGATGTGGTGCAAACTTAAGAGAAGATCAAAATGATTTAAGGGAGAGGAGCACAAAATACATGTTTGGTGAAAAAGTAAACACTTTTTTACTTACAGCAGAAGGAATCCAAATGTAAATGAAAGATTGATTTTTTTATATGATTCAGCAGAAGAAAAAAACACATTTTTGAATCTTGAGTGATCATAATATACGTAGGAATTGTAACAAGTAGTAAGTAGTAACCCCATAAACTCACATGGCAAATTCATGCATCAAAAGCAGCCTCTTAGCCCCAAAATTAAAACATTTGATTAGAGAGATTCATGTAAGCTTCTCTTTGAGTTGTTCAATGGCTGAAATGCCACTTTTTTTGATGTCACCCTTATGTTAAAAAATTTTGTTTTGATTTATTTTTAATCGAAAATCGGATGAAATACAATTTTAACCATATCAAAATCTAATAATTACAATAATATCTAGAGCCCCACCCCTCCGATTCTTCCACGATCCACGATCCGAATTCGAATCCTAGTAAATATTTTTATTTCTCATTCTAGATTCGATGTAACTGTCAAAATTTGAAAAAAAGAAGAAAAGAGCGATCCGATTCACTGAAATTTGAAGTAAATTTGACTTATTTCTTCGTCGAATTTCTGTTCAATCTTTCTCCTCATCTCTCTTCTTTGTCCCCTTCTCTTCTCTTCTTTGGATTTGATTTTCTATTCCTGCAGATATCCATTCAGATATGGTTAAACTAAGATTTGGTAAGAAGGTTTATGAAACAAGAGGTGAGCAACGACGAGGAGAGTCCCGACGAGAATCAGAAACCGCCGCAGCAACGACGGGAGCGACGGCTCCTCCTGAAACCGCCGCAGCATCAACGGAAGCGACGGCTCATCCTAAATCCGATGCAGGAACCGCTCTTCTTGATACCGCCACAGCAACGACGGGAGCGACGGCTCCTCCTGAAACCGGCGCAGCATCGACAGGTACTCTTGAAACCGATGTAGGAACCGCTCATCTTGAAACCGCCGCAGCAACAACGGGAGCGACGGCTCCTCCTGAAACCGGCGTAGCATTAACGACTACTCTTGAAACCGATGCAGGAACCGCTCCTCCTGAAACCGGCGCAGCAACGACGGCTCCTCCTGAACCCGATGCAGGAACGGCTCCTCCTGAAATCGACGCAGCAGCGACGGGTAAACCTGAAAACGAGGCAAGAACCACTCCTCCTGAAACCGACGCAGCAAGGATGACTCCTCCTGAAACCGATGCAGCAACGACGGGAACGACACCAGTAGAAGGAACGGAAGAAGTGGAGAAAGTTCCTGAAGTGGTGCCTCCTGCAATCAATTCGGAGAATCCCCCGGAACCTGTGTCTCCTTCTGTCAATCGGATCAATCCCGATATAAGTGAAGAGAGTCCCTCAACTCCAGAACCAGAAAAAACCCGAACTCCAGATGAAGGGAGGGAGTCCACAAAAAACGATGATGAAGAGAATGTGTCTGGCCAAGAAGAAGAGCAAGAGAATGTGGAGCAGAATGTGTCTGGACAAGAAAAAGAGCAAGAGAATGTGGAGCAGAATGTGTCTGGCGAAGAAGAAGAGCAAGAGAATGTGTTTTGCCAACAACAACAAGAGGAAGAGAATGTGTCTCGTGACCAACAAGAGGAAGAGAATGTGTCTCGTGACCAACAAGAGGAAGAGAATGTGTATGGCCAGGTATAGTTTACTTATGCATTTGCTTACTTTTAGACTGAAAATTGAGAATGATTTTGTGTTGTGTACTTTGATGATTTGCTTACTTTTAGACTGAAAATTGAGAATGATTTTGGTGTTCAACTATGTTTTCTAGGTTCAACTAGATTAGTATCTCCAATGAATGTTAGGTTCAACTGCACTTGATAGGTTCAACTAAGTTTTGCTAGGTTCAACTACGTATTGCTAGGTTCAACTATGTAGGCTTTGTTCAACTAGATGTTTGAAGTTCAACTACGCTTGATTGGTTAAGTTCAACAATGTTTTCTAGGTTCAACTGCATTAGTATCTCCATTATATGTTAAGTTCAACTGCGCTTGCTAGGTTAAACTAGGTATTGCTAGGTTCAACTACGTATTGGTAGGTTCAACTATGTAGGCTTTGTTCAACTAGTTTGATGTTCAACTACGCTTGATTGGTTAAGTTCAACTATATTTTGTAGGTTCTACTACATTAGTATCTCCAATGTATGTTAGGTTCAACTGCGGTTGCTAGGTTCAACTAAGTATTTTTAGGTTCAACTATGTTCAAGTAAGTATTTATTTATTTGAACGGTTTATTAAATATGAGTTTGAATTTGCAGGATAACGAGGATTATAGTACACCACTGCAACCAGAAAAGTTTTACTTCGGTCCAGAGCAATATAGCAAGGCTTGTAAGATAGGATCGAGGTGTAGTGTGAAGGATACAGTGAACATGATAAAGCAGTTTCCAACTGAATTGAAGTGGTTCACAGCTCACCCTCAGTTTAAGCATATTTTTCACATGGAGGAGGAGCCAAACCGAAAGCCTATGGGCATGTGGATGTTGCTACTTCATCAAGCTTGTACGGATTCGATGAATGAGCTGTGGTTTGTGGTTAATGGAGTTCCTATTAGATATTCCATAAGAGAGCATGCACTGTTATGTGGGTTGGACTGCCATGACTACCCGAGCAACTATGAAGAATTAAAGGATAAGAAAAATGGGGATTTTAAGTTTGTGGAGAAGATGTTTGGAAGGAAAGTGAACATAACAATCGCAAATGTGGGAGAGAAACTCGAGTCATTGCGGAGTGGTGTGGACAAGAAGAAGATGGCTGTCCTGTATTTCTTATCCACTGTTTTGAAAGCAAAGTCTAAGGTTGCAGGAAACATAGAGCCATTCTTTCTTAAGATTGTTGATGATTTGGGATTGTGTAAAACATTCCCATGGGGGCGTTACACATTTGATGATTGTATGGTTGAGGTGAGGGAGAAGATGAAGAAGTTCAAGAACGGCATTGTGAGAGACAAATATTCATGGATCTTTTCTGGTTTCATTCTTCCTTTGGAGGTAACCAAATCTTACCAATGGTTTCAAATTATTACTTTGTAGAAAATAAGGTTGTGATATTGTAACTTTATGTGTAGGCTTTTGCATTTGAGTGTATTCCTGTGTTGGGATGCAAATTTCGAGTAGATGTTGTTCCACCTGAGAAGGACTGTCCACGATTGTGTAAGCACAAGTTTGCCGAGGGTTCCATGAAAGGTTTTCCTTTGGAAGACATTAACGAGACCATTGGAAGAACTAGGGTGAGATTGTCGACGATTGTATTTGATATTTGTTTGGTTTTTAAATTTACAAATGTGTTGATTTTCATTATCCAAAATTCACAGGATATCATTAGCATTTTGGAACCTGACTCGGACGAGGAAGCTCTTATGGATCGCATCGTAGAGCCTGGTTGTGATGATGGGATAGGCTTTATTGATCCAATCGTTGACTCTTGGAAAGACCATCTAATTGCAAAAGAAAGGAAGATATGGTGGAGAGATTTGTATGAAACGGACTTGGCAGGTAGAGGTGGAACTGCGAATGTCCCTAGAGAAGAATCAAGAGAAGAACCAAGAGAAGAGCGCAGAGAAGAACCTGACACCGTTACACCAATACTTCAACAGATGATCCAATCGGTGGCGACGATAGGGAATTTGGTAAAAGAACTTCAGGAAGTGGTTTTTGGTTTTGATGAGAGACTGAAGAATGTTGAAAGTTTTGTGATGGAATAGCGAAACAAAGGAAACACCAGCGAAGGTAATACATTAGTTCTACTCTGATGGATCAATTGTTTTTTGCTGTTGTTCATAAAAAAATGTTTCTATTAGGAGGAAAAGCTGGAGATAAAGGGGATGAGGAGCATGGAGCGGATGAAGAGGGAGATAAAGAGGGGGAGCATAGAGCGGATGAAGAGGGAGATAAAGAGGGGGAGCATGGAGCGGATGAAGAGGGAGATAAAGAGGGGGAGCATAGATCGGATGAAGAGGGAGAAGGTGGAGATAAAGAGGAGGAGCGAAAAAAAAAAAACGAAAATCCAGTAAAAGAAAAACAAGAGCACCTTCTTATTACACTCCATCTGACGCTGGTGAGAAGCAGAAAAAAAGAAGAGGCGAGGAGAAGACGAAAGGAAAAAAGAAGAAGGCCAAACATTGAAGAAAAATGAGATGTTGGCTTGTTGTTGGTGTTTTTTTATGAACTTGTTTGGTGTTTTTTTATGAACTTGTTTGGTGTTGTTTTGAAAACTTAACTACTTGGCTTGTTGTTGGTGTGTACTTGGATTTAGTTGGTTTCTTTAAGTACAACTGGGTTTTTAAAGTTCGACTGAGTAAGTTTAACTAGGTACAACTGAATTACAAAGTTCGACTGACTGAGTTGTTCCGTTCAACCTGGTTTTTCTAGGTTCAACTTAGTTTTCACAGGTTAAACATTAGACATAAGTAACTAGGTACAACTGAATTACAAGGTTCGACTGACTGAGTTGTACCGTTCAACTTGGTTTTTCTAGGTTCAACTCAGTTTTAACAGGATTAATAATTGACATAAATGACGATGTACAACTGAAATACAAGGTTCGAATGACTGAGTTGTACCGTTCAACTTGGTTTTTCTAGGTTCAACTCAGTTTTCACAGGTTAAACATTAGACATAAGTAACTAGGTATAACTGAATTACAAGGTTCGACTGACTGAGTTGTACCGTTCAACCTGGTTTTTCTAGGTTCAACTCAGTTTCAACAGGATTAATAATTGACATAAATGACGATGTACAACTGAAATACGTAGTTCGACTGATTTAAAACTTGAAGACCTCTTCCAAAGTTTGAAAATTAGAGGATCTTCATCCGAAAGCAAATAACATCATCAAAGTCTTAAAATAAGAAGAACAATCCACTTACTTAAAAAAGATTATAATCAAACTAAGTAGAAGCACAAGTACTGCTACCCCAAATGTCATCTCCACACTGATTTTCTTCTTGTCCGTCTGAATAAGCATCTCCAGCTT